CGCATGGAACCAGCAACTCTGGCATCGTTGGTGCTATCAGAAATAACAAGATCGGTATAGCGGGTATTCTGGACAGTGTGCGCATACTGCCCATATTCGACGGTGAAGTTTCGACTTGGCCAGCAATCGAAGATGCTTTCACCTACCTAATCAATAAGGGGAAAGGTGATGTGAGAGTTATTCTAATGACGGAAGGGTCCGATTCAACTAGTTCCCAAGCCGTTACCGAAAAGATTCGGGAAGCAACTGCAGCTGGGATGCTCGTTGTCGTCGCGGCAGGGAATGAGCACCTGGATCTGGACAAAGCCCCATACTTCCCTTGCTCCTTCAGCCGTTCACCCACTGATGGAGTGTTATGTGTGGCTGCAACGTATGGTACCAAGATGCAGCTTATGGATGAGAGCAATTTCGGTTCAGCTGTTGACATCGCCGCTCCAGGTTACAATATAGCTACAACTCTTCCCCAAGGGGAGTGTGGCCCTATCTCGGGCACTTCGGGTGCCGCCGCTATCGTAGCAGGTATAGCTGGGATGCTCTACAGCCTTGAACCTTCTCTGGAGGTTAAGCTGACCCCTGCTTACATCAAAAGTATCATCAAGGACACGGCCACTGGAGGTATCAAGGGCAGCAAAGGGAAAAAGACTATGTCATTCGGCCGCGTGAATGCTGCGGCGGCTGTCAATAAGATACTTGGAAAAAAGAAGGTTTAACTTTTCACTCTGACTTCGTCTCATGATGATCCGAGTCGATGCTGACTTGTGAAGGTCTAATCATCAGACCTGATCATCGTAACGCTGGGGATTTGATTAAGATGATTCTTTACGCCCAACTGTTGAGTTTGGAATTCGCGTCGTGAATTTGTGTCTTACTTCAGTGGGCAAGTATTGATTGGCTCGGTGTTCCAATTATGAATCGTGCTGGGAGATGCTGGTGCATCATCATCGATCGCTGTGCCAATCTCACGTAGCTCACAATATTTCTCTCTCGGGTGAAGGAATCCCTTAGCTGAGCTCATGGTGAATATTTTCCACATCGGATAACTTCAATCAAGCCTTACAAGGTTCTGCCTTCTTATAATAACAATGTTATGAAACCAGTGCGGAGTCATTCCGATCGGAAAGCTGCTAACAATTTCCTCAT